TTTGCTATCCGAGTTTCTCAAAATTTGTGAACTGAAAATTAAATATTTGTAGGGGCTTAGACTTCAACTGTAGGTCAAGTGAGTTGAAGAGTCGGTTTCAAGTGAGAACTTAATTAATTTTTCCTGTTATGATACACAATTTTCTTAGTTTCGTGTTTGTCTTTTTCCTTATTTTCATTTAAGTTTATTTTGTTTCATCAGAAGATGCATGGAAAATTGGAGTGTTTTGAGAGAGTTTTTCGGTGTAGATCTAAACAGCAGCAGTAATTTGACTATAGTCATATTCGAATATGACTATAGTCATGTTTATGTGTTTTTCGAATATGACTGTAGTCATATTCGAATATGACTATTGTTGAATATGACTGTAGTCATATTCGAATGTGTTTTATCTTCTCGTTTTCAAGTTGACTTCTAATAACTAGATTCAAATTGTGATTTTTTGTGTGGATATTGATAGAATTGTTTTCGTAAACAATAGGGAATCTTCACTGTTTTATATAATTTGGTAAACATGACTATACCACACTATATAATAGGAATTTTGAAGTCGAAAAAGTGAAAAACTGCAATATAAAGAAAGAATATACTACAGTTAATATAGTCACATATAGTCATATTCAACTATATATAGTCATATTCGGCGTTGTAAACCTGTCGAGAAAACAATTTCAATTTTTTGTTTAAAAAAAACAAAAAAAAATTATTAAAAAATATTAAAAAAAAGTAATGGCTAAATAAAGTCAGAAAATAATAAAAAATAAAAAAATCATTTTTTTTATTATTTGGTAGCAAATTTTTAGGAATTTGGAAGAAGATTTTTAGGAATTAGATTATTGTTATGAAAAAAGAAAAAAAAAAACGGAATAATTGGGACTAATTATGCTAATTGACATAAGGGTAGAATTGGGAATAAAAATTCCAAGGGTTTTCACAAAGAAAGATTTAAGGGGTGGACATATCACCATTTCTTATCTATATGAGAGGTTTATTGCGAATGATCCCATATATATATATATATATATATATTATATGGAAAATTTGACAAACGCCCTCATCACATAACTGCAATTACAATGAACCCAAATTTATTTTTTATTTTTAAGATAAATCCAAAACATCTTTTATTAATAAAAATTAATTAAGTATCACAAGTATACACTTACCTTATTATAAGGTATATTAGGGTTGAATATAAATATGCCTAATATGTGCTCCTTTAATATCTAGTTTTCAATCATACCCACAAATCTTGCTCCTTGAACATAAATAAACGTGTATCTTTTTTTCTCTCTAGATTTGATTTTCTCCCTTGTTTTTTCTATTCACCACTCTGCAGCATGTTTCTTCTCTTCCCACCAGCGCCTCCCCAACCCCTCACCCAGCGCTGCCCTAGCCCCAACCCTCCCCACCCGACGCCGCCCTAGCCCCTATCCTTATTTCTTCTCTCTTCACCGTCGCCGAGCGATATCTATGCGGTGGTAGAAAAAGGTAATTGGGGAAAGGAGTCCTTATTTGATAATGATATTGTGAAAAAGACCATTAATTCTTATAAATTAATATTTTTCTAATGGCTTTTCTTTGATTCCCGTTTCTGATGTTTTTCCAACAATTGTTGCCAGAAGAACTTCTCTTTCTTTTTCGGATTTTTTTATTTAATTCTTTTTGGGGCTCTTTTTATCTGGTAGAGGGAGAGCGGCGGTGTTTTTCGGATATTTCATCAATTAATTGAGTGAGTGGCATTGATTTATTTTTGTAGTGGATTTTGATAAGTTATAGTGGATTTAATCTTGGATGATCTTGTGCACTTGGGAATTACATTTTTTTTTACTAGTGGATTTCGATAAGTTATTGTAGTTTTCAATAAATTATAGTTGATTTTCAGTTCTTGCCTTTGAAAAAGGAAAATTCTTAATGAATTTGACTGATTCATTTTCTTTAATTTCACGAGCGGGGGAGTCAAGGCTGCAAAAGTGGATTAGGTTAATTCCGTATTGGTTTACATTAATTTATAGTGTTTTTTAATAATTATGCATAGTGCATTTTGATGAAATTGTAGCGATTTTCAAACTCTTGCTTTCGATAAGGAAATTTTTGAATGAATTAAACTGGCACGTCGTTACCTTCTTTTTCTTTAGTTCAGGTTCTTCAGCGTGCACAGTGATGCTGGCGGGGTGGCTAGGTTGTGTGATGCTAGGGTAACTGAACATAATATTGAATTTAGGTTTCAAATAGTGGATTACGCTTCGAATAGTGGTTTTACGTTCCTTTTTTTGTTTGTTATTTTTTGAGTTGTGTTAGTAGTGACGTTTCGAATTTAGGATTTATACATAACGGTTTTCATGTTTATATAGTTGTTTATACATAGTGGTTTTCATGTTTATATAACTGTTTATACAATATAATTTTCATGTTTACATAGTTGTTTATACATAGTGGTTTTCATGTTTACATAACTATATACAGAGTGGTTTTCATGTTTATATAACTATTTATACATAGTCGTTTTCATGTTTATATAGCAGTTTATATAGAGTAATTTTCATGTTTAAATAATTGTTCATACAGCGTAATTTCATGTTTCGATAAATTTATAGTGGTTTTCAACAAATTCATACCAGATTTCGATAAGTTTATAGTGGATTCCCCTTTCATAAACCTGCTAGATTTTGTTTAAATATTAAAGAAAAAATTTAATCAAAATAAAGAAAAAAATTAATAAAAAAATAATTAAACAAAACATTTTTTTATTAAAAAACTCGGAAAAAGATAAAAAAAAACCATTTAAAAAAAATTGGAATTAGAAAAAAACCATTTAAAAAATAATAAAAATAAAACCATTTAAAAAAAATCAAAATGAAGAACATGAAAAATATAAATAAGAAAAAAATAATTTAAAATAAAAAAAATTAAAAAAATAAAAGAAAACCATTAAAAAATAAAAAAATAAAATGAAAAATAGAAACTGAAATGGCGTGATATGGGAAGATATTAAGGGGATTTGTATATTTTAAAAAAATTAATTGATTTTTCATAATAATATAATATGGTAACTTACAATAATATTAAATGGGGGTATTTTGGATAATTTGAGTCAGTTGGATCTATAACAAATATCAATTCATAAAAATGAATTTATTATTAAGTAAAAAATAAATGAGGGGTGTTTATCATATATATATATATATATATATATATATATATATATATATATATATATATATATATATATATATATATATATATATATATATATATATATAGGCCCGGTTCTGAGGGAAGACGACCAAGGCGGTCGCCTAGGGCCCCCGATTTTTTACGAATTTTAAGGGCCCCCAATTCTTAAAAAATAGTGCTTACATATTAGTATTTGTTGATAATATATATTTAAGGCCCCTTATTAAAAGAAATTATAACCATATAAATAATTTACACTTATTTTTTAAATATCTTGTAATATAAATTAAGAATTCAAATCAAAATTTTCATAGTAAAAGATTAGTCTTTCTTTTTGTAACGTTTATGTTACTTTTTGTTTTAAGTGTAGTCATAACTATATTATTTGAAATGCTAACTAACATATATTAATTTTGGCTAATTTATTTGTTTCATAAATGTTTTAAATCTTTATAATTTTGTTTCATCTTAATATATTGTCCCTATGCACTTATTTTAATGTAAATGTTAGTTAATAGTTCTAAGCAAATTCTAAATTTTACTGTGAATCAAATATACCATGGGTGAGAGGCATACCAAGATTAAAAAAAGTATTTTTCGATAATATTTTATAAATATAAATTTTTTGCCCCCATTAAGTTCACACTCTTTTATAAATTTATTAAGTTTATTTTATGTTTAATAAAAAATATTATGTTTAAAACCCTATAGATATTTTTACTAAAATTTAGTATTTTTTTCACGATTACCTCTACAAAAAATCGGGGCGATGCCCCCGAACCCCCAAAATTTTAACCTACCCTGACATATTATTTCCGGAAAAAAAAATTCGTTGCCCAAACTAGGGGGCCCCATTTCAACAATGTCTGCGAAGTTCGCCTTGGGCCCCCAAAATCCTAGGAACGGGCCTATATATATATATATATAGAGAGAGAGAGAGAGAGAGAGAGAGAGAGAGAGAGAGAGAGAGAGAGAGAGAGAGAGAGAGAGAGAGAGAGAGAGAGAGAGAGAGAGAGAGAGGGGAGATTTGTGCATAAATCCCTAACCAATCATATTTATTATTTTAGGTTTAGGGGTTATATCTCATTCGTCAATAAGCCCATCCCTTTATTATTATAAATAAAGGAAAAAATCATGTATATGACAAATTTAACCCCAACCCTTTACACCAAATCCTCAATTGTAATCCAAATTTAATCAATTTCAACCATAAAAATTCAATTTTGACTTTTTTTTTTCAAAAATTATTTTTTTGCCGCCGGTTTCCGGCATTGATTTTTCAAAAGAAATTGTTTTTTGATTTTTTGAATTTTGTTCTCTGGTCTGTTTTTTCCGCCGCCGAATTCTGGCGTTGACTCTTTTAGTGCTTTTGTTTTTTCTTTTACGCCCACCGCTAAATGTTGACCGTAATTGTGTTGTCATTACCAGTAGTTCAACGGTCACTGACAATACATTAATGTAATTGTACTGTCGTTGACAATATATTTATGTAATTGTACTACCGTTGACAGTACAATTAGAGTCAATGACAATATTACTATTTTTATTAATTTTGTTTGATTTGTTGACAATTCAACGTAATTATATTATTCGTTGACAATAAAATAACTGTAAACACAATAATATTACTGTGAACCACATCAAATATTATTATTTTTTTGGGCGTTTTTGTTTTGTTTAAGTTAATCACGGAGGAACATAATAATATTAGACTTAACACCCTCCTCCAAGAATGTTCTGCCCCTTATGATGCCTTGTGGATTTGGAGAGATATCCTTAGAACAAAAGATCTTATCAATAAGGGTGTTTGTTTTTCTATATATATGAATTCCACTGGTCTTATTTGGGAAGAACCTTGGATCCCTTATGTCGTGTCTTTCAAACCTTCTCCCATCATTGCTGATTCTCCTCCCTATCCCTCTTACAGGCTAGTTAGGAACCTCTTCCTTGATGGCTCAAACTTATGGAACGTACGCCTCTTATATGAGATGTTTCCACACTCGGTGGTTCAGGAGATTAGGAAGATTCATTTCTCCCATATCCCTCAACCAAAGAAACTCTTCAGTTGCCCCTCCAAGTCAGGGAATTTCACCTCAAGAAGTGCCTATCTCACGGACATTGCCTCTCGTTGCTCTCATGCTGCTCAAAATTCCACTTTCTCTTGGAACTACATTTGGAATGCAAAAATTCACAATAGGCATAAACTACTTCTTTGGCGAATAATCATTGATCTGCTGCCGACCAAGGCTAAGTTAAATTCTTTCTTTCCTCTTAATGATTTACTTTGCCCCATTTGTGGCCTGGAAAATGAATCTGCAAACCATCTCTTCATTAGATGTCCTTTCCTTTTGCAAATATGGTTCACTTCTAAATGGAATCTTTGTTTGAATCCTTTTATTAATGAACCCATTAAGGACTGCATTGCATTGGTTTTAAAGGAAAATGGGAACCTTCTCCCTTCTGAAATATTAAGAGAAGAGTTTGTTGTTTATGTTGCCATTATTTGTGATATTATGTGGAAGAATCGAAATCTCATCACTCACGGATCTTCACCTCCTTCTTTGCAGGATTCTTTGAGGATACTCTCCAGCTCCGCCTCCACCCATTGGAACAGCGAACTTGCCAAATCCACCACCTCAGGCAAAATAGTAGTGCACTCATGGACAAAACCTCCCAAGAATTGGCTCAAAGTCAATTCGGATTGCAGTTTCTCCAACGGGCAAGCCTCATGTGTTTTCATCATTCGAAATTGCAATGGATCAATTCTTCTTGCTCATTCTAGCATTCATCTCTGCCATGATCCACTCACTGTTGAATCTATTGCTGTTAGAGAAGCTTGTAATTTCATCGCAAATGCAAAGCTCAAAAATGTAATGTTTGAGTTGGACTTACTCAATGCTATCCTCTTCATTAAGGATCACTCTTCAGCTATTCACTGGACCGCCAGCCATCTTATTCATGAAACCCAAAAATTCTGGGGACTTAGGTCTAAATTGAAATTCAGATTTTGCTCCCGAAATGCGAATTATGCGGCCCATAATCTAGCTAAATGGTCTTTCTCTTCTGTTTTTTGTGGTTTTATTCCTGTTAATTGTTTACCTTTACCTTGTTTTGGTGATAGGGGTTCTCCCATTGGGGACAAATTTAATTCGTATTGTTAATGCAACTTTTATTTATCAAAAAAAAATTTATATGTTTAAGAGCAATATAGTTAATAATACTGTCAATCATTGCTGTTTAAACCGGGGGGCCAAAAAGATGTTAAAAAAAATATCGAAAAAGTCAACGCCGGGAACCAGTGGCGGATCAAGAAGAAAAAAAAAGTCAACGCCGGAAACCGGCGGACAAATCAGGAACAAGAAAAAGAAAAAAAAAAAGTCACCGCCGAAGACCGGCGATCAACGGCGGTGACAGACGAAATTGTTCATAAAAATGTGTTGTAGGTTAAAAATGAATAATTTTTGAAATTGGGTCAAATTGAGGTTAGATTAAATTGTAGGATAAATTGGAGCATATTAAAATATTAGGGGTTATTTTAGTCTTTTACAAAACCTGTGGACCATGTGTGGATTTTCTTGTAAAAGAGTTTATTGTCTAGACTTTTTTATGAAAAAGTGCCCATTTATGGGCTTATTTGCAAAATGCCCCTATATATATATATATATATATATATATATATATATATATATATATATATATATATATATATATATATGGGAAATTTGCTAGATGCCCCTGATTATAAACTTGTATAGGTAGGGATTCATTCTATTAGATGAATGAAATATGCATAGGTCCCTAGATCAATAAAATTAATCGAAATTAAAATAAATTATTAGTATAGACACAAAAATCCTTAATTAATATTTATATATAGGGATTATTTGAGAAAACCCCCTCATATAACATTTACAATTAGAGGGGGTCTATTTTTTTTTCCACATTTTGAGATAAATCCATTTATTTAAATATTATATAATTAAATCATTATAATCCTATTATACCCTTCTTAACCTAATTGTGTACTCATCTAAATTGAACCGCCGTTAATCTATCGTTCCTCATTTCTATTCTCTTTCGTTCTATAACACACAATATTCATCTCCCCTAATAATCCGGCCACCCTTTCTTCGCCGATGCTTCGCCGAGATTCCCATGGCCACCGACACTTCGCCGAGATTCCAGAAGTCGGACCTCCTCCTCGTACCTGCAACCGCCGCCGCCGCGGTGGAGACGACGGACTTCACTCCTGCCAGTTCATGGTCGTCGGCTCGACCGCCGGCATGGTGGAGCACATGTGCCACTGTTGCCAGCGATACCGTGCTTACTCCCATGGATATGGTGAAGCAGAGGCTGCAATTGGGTAACATTCCGTACAAAGGTGTGTGGGACTGCGTGAAGAGAGTGCTGAGAGAGGAAGGGTTTTTTTCTAAATCCAATTCCTCTAGCCGTGAGTTTTTCGCAAATCCAATTCCAGATTTATATTTTCTTTGACTATGATTCTTAAATTTATTGGACAATTACATTACGAAGTTGGTATGTTTTTCCAAAACGCAGAACGATTTGTCTCTTTCCCCCTATATTTTGTCGGCAAATAGATAAGTTCGTAATGGATTACGTTAATTCGTAGTGAATTATGTAAATTTTTATTCGATTTCGATACGTTTGTAGTGCACTATATTAATATAAAAGTTGATTACGATAATTTCATACTGATTTCTACGTTAATCGATAGTGGTTTTCGATGACTTTATAGTGGTTTTCAATGAGAATGTAGTGGATTTCAATCCATATATTACGTTAATTTTGTAGCGGATTATTTTAACCTATAAAGTGGATTTTGATAACTTTGTAGTGCATTTTGATAATTTCGTAATGGATTACGTTAATTCGTTGTGGATTATGTAAATTTTTATTCGATTCGATACGTTTGTAGTGCATTATATTAATATTAAAGTTTATTACGATAATTTCATACTGATTTCTACGTTAATCGAATAGTGGTTTTCGATAAATTTATAGTGATTTTCAATGAGTATGTAGTGGATTTCAATCCATATATTACGTTAATTTTGTAGTGGATTACTTTAACCTATAAAGTGGATTTTTATAATTTTGTAGTGGATTTTGATAATTTTGTAATGGATTACGTTAATTCGTAGTGGATTATGTAAATTTTATTCGATTTCGATACGTTTGTAGTGCATTATATTAATATTAAAGTTGATTACGATAATTTCATAATGATTTCTACGTTATTCGAATAGTGGTTTTCGATGAATTTATAGTGTTTTTGAACGAGTATGTAGTGGATTTCAATCCATATATTACGTTAATTTGTAGTGGATTACTTTAACCTATAAAGTGGATTTCAATCCATATATTACGTTAATTTGTAATGGTTTACATTAATTCTGGATTATGTAAATTTTTATTCGATTTCGATATGTTTGTAGTGCATTATATTAATATTAAAGTTGATTACGATAATTTCACACTGATTTCTACGTTAATCGAATAGTGGTTTTCGATGAATTTATAGTGGTTTTCAATGAGTATGTAGTGGATTTCAATTTTTTGTTAAACTTGCGGTAAAAAAACCAATTAAAAAAATGAAAATTGAAAAAAAAAATATATTTTTTTAATCGAAATTACAAAAAGATTGTAAAAGGTGAATTTATAGTGGTTTTCAATGTGTATGTAGTGGATTTCAATTTTTTGTTAAACTTGCGGTAAAAAAACCAATTAAAAAAATGAAAATTGAAAAAAAATAAATATATTTTTTTAATCGAAATTACAAAAAGATTGTAAAAGATGAATTTATAGTGGTTTTGAATTTTTTGTTAAACTTGCGGTATAAAAACCAATTAAAAAAATGAAAATTGGAAAAAAATAAATATATTTTTTTAATCGAAATTACAAAAAGATTGTAAAAGATGAATTTATAGTGGTTTTCAATGTGTATGTAGTGGATTTCAATTTTTTGTTAAACTTGCGGTAAAAAAACCAATTAAAAAAATGAAAATTGAAAAAAAAAAAAATTTAAATCAAAATTAAAAAAAGATTGTAAAAAGAATCAAAAAAAAAAAAAAAAAGAAATGCGTGATTTGTATTAAGAGAGAGATATGGGAGAGTTGGTGAGAGATTTAAGGGGAGTTATTTTAGGGGAGTTACTTTAGCAATAATAATTTAATTATGTTTTTTTAAAATATAATAAGGGTAAATAAGATATTAACCTTAATGAAGGGGTTATCCCTAATAGTAAATAAAAATATGGATTTATGCCTCTAAGAAATTTGTATGAAGGGGTTATCTCATATAACCCCTTATATATAAATAGTTATTTTGGAAATTAAGGGAACAAATGCCACAAATTACTCCTCCTCTCTCTCTATACTCTCTCACACATTTCTCTCTGCTACACACGTCACACTCATTTACCTCTCACCCACACATGCCTCTTTTTTCCTTTCTCTCTCTCTCTCAAATATCTGCCTATTTTGACAATTTATTATTCATTTCTTGTAAAAAAAAAACTTTTATTTTGTTTCCATAAGTATCTTATTAGCAATCTTCAACTATCAACTTTCCTGTGACCATATATTTTGAATTTTAATTCTTATTTCATATGTTCTCGACGACACTGCATTTTTTTTTTCTTTTTTGCATTTTTTAATAGGTTTTACTTCAACAAACAACAAAACAAAACAAAAATTGAACAATAAAATAAATTTGCAAAATAAAATAAAAAACTGCAAATTGCAACTTGTAACTGAAAATTAATATGTAAAATCATTTTACGATGTTAAACAACAATCTAATAACAACCAATTGATAATTATAATTGTGTAATTAACCAAAAAAGGATTTGATTAATATTTTAATTTCAAATTCTCTATCATTCGATGATTGATATGCAGCCTCGAATTGATTCAATCTTGATTTTCCTTTTTCGAAGAGGATGACGACTCATTTACTTCGATCTTCCCTCCTTTCAAAGTGACTGTTGAATGAATAAATACAACACATCATGTTAACTTAAAATGAAGTATATATCAATTTTAAAATCTAGGATGCAAAATGCAATGCGCTACAAATAAACAACAGTAAAATGCAACTTCCAAAACCACTTTGCAAAAAAAAAAAAAAAAACAAAAAAAAAAAAATAATCCTACGTAGCAAACAAAATGCAAAGAACAGCAAAAATTGCAAGCAAAAACAAACAAAACAACTAACAAAAATGCATAAAGTATTCAAACTTCAATAATAGAGCATACTACAATAAAATGCAGACCAAGTGAAGACCCACAAAAACAGCAACATAAAAATAATGACGTGTTCTTTTCTTGGATGATGTTAAACATAAAATTGTGACCTGTTCTTTTTTGGACGTGGCTGTTGAATGCACAATAAAATAAATGTAATTAGAACAACAATTGCATACTACAGTAAATTGCAAACGTCAACAACAATTTATAAATTGCAAACATAAAATTGAATTTCAAACAAGAAATTTCATTACAAACATCAAACAACAACTGCAATTTCAACAATAACTACAAATGTAAACATGTACTTATTGCGAATATGTAGAAACTGCAAAAAACTAATTTAAATGCCCGCATTAAGAGGACTACAAAAAAATGTATACCAAACCAACATCGATATAATGCATATCACAAGAACATGACACGTGCAAACAAGAATTGCCCTCACAAATACTTGCAAAGTGCAAATTGAAGTTGCAAACAAGTACTTTTTGCTTTACAGATAAGAATCTAAAGAGATTTTTTTTCTAAAATGTCCACCCTATGTTTGGTACAATAAAATTCAGACCAAATTAATAGCAATAAAATGCATAATACAAGTAAATAAAATGCTAACATAAACTGCCATTTGCAAACAACAAATAACAACTTCAATTACAATCAAAAAATGCAAAGTGCAAACTGTTATTACAAACATAAATCAAATTACAGAACAACTAGCAGTACTTCCTAAATGTTACATACTATAATAATCTACAGACCCAATTATCAGAAACAATATGTTTCAAACACAAGAACTCAACATGCAGACCTCAAAAACATCCAAAAAAACGAAAAACATAGAAGAAACTTGTAACATTGTTGCTTCTAAAATATCTGGAATAAATGCGAAA